TGTGCTGGCATGAAAATCAGGATCTGCTGCCATTTACGCCACAAATATGGTATGACTAATGGGGATCAAAATGTGATTTAATATTCTTAAATTCTGGTGTGTGCTCAGTCCACAATTGAGTTGCTTTTTTTGAAATCCTTTGCTATCGCTTCTTGCTGTAATACTCGTGTCCCCAACTACCGGAGACAAAGTCCTTGTATGTTTTTACATACTTGGACAAGAAAAACGATTCTGATTTTCGTGTTGTTCTGGCATGCGTTTATTTTAGCTTAGCATTCGTTTTGCTCTGTTTTCCCCTACCTGCTGTCTGCTGCCAGGTCGACAATGCTGACATTCTGTTCTTCATGGGACAGCTCATGGAAAAATTGAGGTTGAATGAATAAATACATAAACGAATACATAAATAATAAATAAACCATTCAAAGAGGCAAAAACAAATTCTGTTGAAGGTTTATTTTGTCATGCTTTTTTTTTCCCCCAAATCACAGCAAAGCTGTGGGATGTTGGAACTATAAGATAACGCTGTAATCCTTTATTTATTAATTTTTAATTGAGGGTGGAGATTCACATGAGTTAATCAATCCCATGAGCCTTGTGGCATTCTGTAGGACTTAATCACCTCAGTTTGTGATTGGATTAACAGGTTGCAGGGGTGGTGGGGTGGGGGCGTGGTGTTAGGTTTGTCAAAATCCACTCATTGAGCACATCATCTCACAGTGACTGTGTTTACTGTTTAGGGTTATGGGCTCAAGAAAAATACTTTTACGAGGTCTCAATGCAATGGAGTGCACAGTTAACAAGTTCAAGCCTACCTGGAGGTTTACTGCTCGCTGAACTTCAGATCGTTGACCTGCTGCTGTGTACTGGCACTTTCTCTTCAAATACAACACCGCTGTTTGCTGTGTCACATGCGCCACGAGGCCACAGTGTACAAAAAAAAAAGAAAAAAAAAACAGGCTTAATTCTATAACATCAGTAGATTGACGGGACAACAAAGTAATTCATTACAGGAACCACAGGGCAAACATGGCAATGAAAATTTATTTTCATTAGGATTCGAGGATATTGAATTAAAGGTTCACTTCATATATCCACGTCATACGGAAAAATCAAAATGCCGTTTCGGCAGTAACAAACGACACTATTTAAAAAAGATATAAAATAGAAGATACACAAAGACAAAGTTAGCTCTGTCACACTGAAGTACTTTTGTATTCTATAAATGATATAGGGATATATACAGGTATACTGATATATTAGCATGTTGTTAGCTTGCAAGAGGAAACCTTTGTCAAGTGTTCTCCAGTTAATGAATGACTAGCAAGAGATTGATTGTTTATGCATATGTTGACAGCAAGGCTGTTAGAAAGCCCCCTGCTCCCCCAAATCTAACCATTATGATGACCATCATAAAAAACTAATATACTTTTGCAGGTCTTTTTTCAGCGTGTCACAAACACTTTTTGGACAACGGAATACAAAAAGAAAACTGTTTTAATAACTCTTTGGTATTCTAGCACAAATGGGTTCCACATTTCCTTGGAAGAAGTGCAAGATGTATTCGTTTGCGCAATGCGTGTCTGACAAATCGATTGGCTTTGAATTTCTTTTCAGTTCGTAAAAATATTATGGAGTGATCTTGCTCTTACATTGCACAGTGATCTGTAAATTAATACGGTTCAAAACAGTTTCGCTTCCAGAAATTGTCTGTTTTGTTTGTTTGTTTTTCCTGTAAGGCCAAAGTTGTTTTGTGTCCACTTTGAATTTGTGAAAATGACGCTTGCAGTGGTGAATAGAACAGAATAGAATGGGATGTGAGTTTAATGCCAGTCAGTTGCAGAAGAATGAGCAGCAATTTTGCAGCTAAACTGCATATTCAAGCACACCAAAGGATATGGTAGCAGCTTGAAAGTATCACTTGAGTTACCACAATTTTAACAATACTGTTTGTGTTTTTCACAAAGCTGAGTGTCTGAGGTGACTCCAGTGTAAATTTGAAATTTGGAAACAACTTGACTGATGTACAACCACCAGTAGATGATATCAATGTCCCTTTTTAAATCTGAGATCAGCAAAGTTTGTGAGTCCCCAGGGGGAAACTGCTGCATTTTATGCAACCGCCCTTTATTCCGCTGTTCATTATGAAAGAACGGAAAACAGGCAGAATCAAACTTTGTTTTCCTGAATAAAGGAGAGAGTGTCTTCTTTCTTTTGGTTTGTCTGTAATCATTGACCACAATATCTGTCTGTCCTGAAAATGTCATAATGCTCTAAAATGGCTGGCTGTGAATGAGTTTTAACCTGGAGTAAAACAAGCGGATGCCTGGACCACCAAAAACCAGCTTGAAATTTTTTTTTTTTTGTTTTATTCTCTCGCAGAACTTGCAAAGAATGATGAACTCACTGGTCTTGATTGACTGAGACAGGCGTTCTTGGCTTGAGTTACTCATTTAAACTTTTTGGGGGGGGGGGTTGTTTTGTGCTGACCAATAACAATCCTCTTGTGCATCATTTCATCAACAACAAAGTCTTAGGCTGGTTCATTATGCAGGCATTAGCTCCGATTTAGCAGCAAAGTAGCTGTGGAATATGTTGGACTGGTGTGACCGCCCCTCGGTCCCCCTTTGGTGGATGCTGGACGTGCATGCGCGCATGTGACACAAGCATGGGGCCAGGTTATAAAAATGATGTACAAAGCCGGTCACCCCTCACGGGGGAATTGTTGAACCATTGCTGATGACAAGAGGATGGAAGATATCAAAGTCGTGCTATCTCCGCAGAAAGAGAGAGAGCGAGAAAACAGAGATTCACCATTGAAGAGCTTAGTTAACCATCAACCAGCGACAGGCACCCCGCCTCTTGGCTGGTTAGCGGCACGAGGGAAGGAGGCCAGCTCATGTCAGTCTCCTGTCAGGTCCCCGTCAAGTTTGGGAGCTACCCCACGTCTGGGTGGAGCTAGTCAGCCAAAAGAGGGAGGGGGTGGCTGGAGGTGTCAGGGGAGTGGGGGGTGAGAAGAAGAAGGAGCAAGGTGGTGTGGGGGGGGGGCACATTAGCTTCTGGGACGAGTCTTTCCATCACACCGTCAGGTAGTGGACAATCGCTTTGGCAGACATGGACATGGCAGACTACAGCGAGGCCCTGGACCCAGCGTACACCACGCTGGAGTTCGAGAACATGCATGTACTGGCCATGGGCGCAGGTGAGCGGAACTTTTGCAACTTTTGACGAGATCCTCGATGGTCATCTGCCTGAATTCAGCGGCTAGACAGATACTGTTGGCTTGATTTCACCAACTTGAGTGAGTTAGAGTAGCGTGGCCGTTCCTGTTAAATGCTCAATTACCCAAGTCCATAATCATATCTTTTTTACCCCACCGCCACCCCCTTGCTTTTGATATCTTAAGTGCTTCCATCTTATTCAAACGTGCACTCTCCCATAACTCCTGACTGCGATCCTGACTGTGAAGAAGCTGAAAATCTTTTCCCAGGAGTTCTTTTTCATGCCAGGACTGCTCGCAAGCTTCATTCAATAGACGTGTCACGGTATACTGTGATTGATTGAGCCACTCGGGAGATTGCAGGAAAACTGTCGCCACTGATCAGATTGAACCCAACCTAAATTCATGATGCTCTGTAGACCGACAGTGGGAAGTACCCAAGTACAAATACCTCATTACAGTAGATATTTATCAGGTATCTGTACGTCACTTTAGTGTATATTTCCAAGAACTTTTTACTTTGACCCTCTACTTTTGAAAACACATATATCAACATGGCCACGACTGAAACGCAACATAACAAAAAGACATGAATACTGAGCAGTAGCATCAAGCACGGTTACAATCTTGATTGATTGAGGTGTTCGGGTCCCCTTAGGCGGAACATGGAGGCAACAACATGGAGGAGCATTAATCAAGATGGCAACAAATTCAGTGAAGCAGGATATTCCCCGTCTCCTTGAAGAGAACTTTTTGATGTCTGCTACAAGAACGATTCATTGCAAATGCGTATATGTCGTGTGCGAGCTTAAAAAGCACCAGCTTCTAGTATTCACACTTTCCCTCTGATCTGAAAAAACTATGTACAAGGATTATTTTGCGGGTCGTTATTAAGCTTGCATTTTTGTTAGTTAATTCACAAATGTTAGCAAATGTGATAAAAGTCAAAGCATCGCTAGCTAGCTCTTAACTGACAACATGCAGCATTTAATGTGTTTTTTTTCCCCCACAAGTATCTGTACTTTTACTGAAGTAGTGTGAATGGCGCGGCGAGTTATCAAAAGTAGTCTTCACTGCTTCACTTTCGCTTTGAATTTCTTTAAATTGAAACAGTATTTGTACTTCGACTTAATTACAGAGTGTGAATACTTTTGCCATCTCTGCTGTTGACTCACAGACTCTCGTCGTGTGAGCTATTGAAGGAGGGGAAACGATCACCGGGGTTTGTCCTGATCAGATTTATGAGCACTGTCTTTGCTGATGTCATTCACACTGAGGCTTGCAAAATTCCAACAATTTTCGAAGTAGAAAAGTTCATGGGAATTATGGGGCATTTATGGAAACAAAGGAGGAATTTTGAAAAATTGAAGTTTGAAACACTAATAGGAAATTTAATGCACTTGAAAGACTATATTTGAGCAAAAGCCTGACTAAGGCAAGCACTGAAGTGGGGGAAAATTATGGAGCAATGAAGGTCCTGCAATGCCCTTGTACTGTATGTGGGAGAGAACAGCTGTCTGTTTTGCATGGATGTCTGCTTATGACCACCTGATATACACTGCACTCATGAAATTTCACCTGAACTTCCAGTTCATTCCCGCACCATTCCAAAATTTCTAATTTGGAATATTTCCAAAACGCCCCTCCTTGATTTCCTTTGGTGAGTTATGGGAAACATTTGGAAGACAGACTGGAAACCGTTCAGGCCTTTGCAAGCCTCTTCACACCTCCTGCTATGAAGCCAATCTGTGTGAACTTGAGCGCGGTCCCGTGTTTTCATCAGATTCCTCGCCGGCTGAGAACACCAACATGAGCGCCACGGGCCACCTGACGGCGGGCAGCCTGTGCGCCATCTGTGGGGACAGAGCCACGGGCAAGCACTACGGTGCGTCCAGCTGCGACGGCTGCAAAGGCTTCTTTCGACGCAGTGTCCGCAAAAACCACATGTACTCGTGCAGGTGGGATTCCAAGACGGAAGAATATGTGTTGGGTGTCTTTCGTGACTGAATGACAACACAAAATGTATCGTGTGCAGGTTCAACAGACAATGTATCGTGGACAAAGACAAGAGAAATCAATGCAGATACTGCAGACTGAAGAAATGCTTCAGGGCTGGCATGAAGAAAGAAGGTACGAGAGTCAAGACTGAATGTCAACGTACGCTTCCCTCACTCAAGTGACAGCACTCGGCTCGGGTGTGTCGCAACACCCAAAAAGGAGTTGTTTGTTAATGATCACTTCGCGGGGCGATGAAGTCTCGGAGCGGCTTTTGCTGAGCAAACACCTCCGAGCAATAATAGCCATATACTGATAAACATGACAGCCTTGGAAGTCTTATTTTTCTTTGGAAACGACTCAGTGGGCCTCTCTTTGAGGGGCAGAAAGTTTGAGTTTTACTGTCTTTGTGGCAGTGGGGACTTAATACCACCACGAGCTGATTGCAATTACAGAAACCATCAATGTTATTAAAACAAAAAACAAAAAAAAAACAAAAAAAACAAGAAAACAGCATGTAACTGTGCACTTACATCATGAGAGGGCGTTCATGATCAATATTTATCAAAAATATGATCAAACCACTAAACAATTACATAAAATACATCACACCCACCAGATGTGATGATCATGCTTGCGGGGCAAATTTAAATTCTAAACGGTTAAACAAACGGTTGAGGTTACTTGGACCAGCCTGACTGATTCAGATTAGACATGGCTGAAATATGACTGCACAAAAATTAAAAATAAATGAATCAAATGCGCATGTGCTGCTGTACGCAAGCGTGGCGCCGCCAATGTGTGGTAAAATATTTTAACTGTCAAATATGTTTGAACGTACTTGCGAATATGTTCAAACATATTTGCAAGTACATTTGAAAGTACTCGCTAATACGTTCGAATGTACTTGCAAGCTAAATGCTGCAAACACAGCATTTTTTGGAAGTTTTTTTTTTTTTTTTTTTTTTTAAGCATTTGGCCTACGCAATACTGATACGTTCAGAAATGAAGTCAGTAAACATTGTTAATTAATCATTTTATGGTTTTATTATATGACTTGCAAATCATGGACATACACGAACTAAAAATAAAAGGTTCTTTATTTTTGAGCATTTGGCCTACATTTTACCAATATGTTCAAAAATGAATGAAGTCACCATTGTTTATTTTGTTCATTTCTGCAGTGCATGATTTAGATTTGGCATTTTTTTCCCATTGGGTATTGACTTGCGCATCATGGACTTGCTCAAAAAAAAACAAAAAAAGCATTTAGCATTTGGCCTGCATCATACCAGTACATTCACAAATTAAGTAAACATCGTTTAGTCTTTATTTTATGCCTTTTGTTATGTCTGCCGTGCATGATTTAAGTTTGGTATTTTTACTAGAATGCCACAGGGTAGGGCGGGCCCGGTGGTCCAGTGGTTAGCACGTCAACTTCACACTGCAGAGGTGCAGGCTGATTGAACACTCGAAATTGTCCCTAGGTGTGAGTGTGAGCGTGGATGGTTGTTCGTCTCTGTGTGCCCTGTGATTGGCTAGTAACCGGTTCAGGGTGTCCCCTGCCGACTGCCAGAAGACAGCTGGGATAGGCTCCAGCTCCCCCCGCGACCCATGTGAGGATAAGGCGGATCAGAAAATGGATGGATGGATGGATAATTATCTTAATCCTCACTAGGGTCATCGGCCTATCCCAGCTGACTACTCCCTAGACTGGTTGACAGTCAGTTGCAGGGCATTAATTGATGATTGAGGAAAAAAAAAGATTTATTTTAATCCATCCATCCATTTTGTGAACCACTTTATCCTTAAAATGGTCGCGGGGGGTGCTGGAGCCTATCCCTGCTGTCTACGGGCAGTAGGCAGGGGACACCCTGAACCGGTTGCCAGCCAATCGCAGGGCACACAGAGACGAACCACCATCCACACTCACACTCACACCTAGGGACAATTTGGAGTGTTCAATCAGCCGCCGTGCATGTTTTTGGAATGTGGGAGGAAACCGGAGTACCCGGAGAAAACCCACGCGGACACGGGGAGAACATGCAAACTCCACACAGGGAGGCCGGAGCTGGAATCGAACCCGATACCTCTGCACTGTGAGGTCGACATGCTAACCAATGGCCCACCGGGTCACCCAAGATTTATTTTTTTCCTTTTTAATTTTCATCCCCCAATTCAAAAGCAGGACATCATTTCAAAATGATAATGCTCAAAATGCAGGAACAGAGATTAATTCTGATTCAGTTGCCTGTTTTGTTCCAAACATCTGTCAAAAAATATTGCCCTATTGATCTTTTTTTTTTTTCAAAAGTAACAGCAGATGTTTGCAAACGCCTTTTTTGTTTCATCACAAAGGTAAAATCAATTTGTTTGCAAGGAGAACAACAGAAATCTGTGAATATTTACTGTCAAGGGGCTGAAATTGCAATTAGTCAATTCATCTGATTAATCGCTTCTCAAAATAAGTGTTGATGAGGTTGATAATGTTGATTGATTGATTCATTGTTGCACCTCTAACAAATAAAACATATTTTGGTCTTTTTTGGGGGCGACTGGATCAGATTTATTGCATTTCCATTCATTTCTCTGGGGAAAGATTATTTGAGAACCATCTCAGAATCAGAATCAGAATCATCTTTCTTGGCCAAGTATGTAGAACACACAAGGTATTTGTCTCCGGTAGTACATGCTGCACTAGTATCATCATAAACAAGGAAATGACACATAAGTATGGAAGAACATTCCATAATGTAAGTGTACCATTGTGCGGTGGTACCACCCAATGACAGCTGTGGGACAATGTGCAAAGTATCAAGCAAAGCTAATTTGATCAGTGGTAGAATACAATACTATAACAGCTGTGCAGTTGGTGCAGAAAATCATTGCACCATTTTCAAGTGACCAGGAGCAGTATTTGTGCTAAGTGTGCAATTGTGCAGATGTTCTTGAGCGCTTTAAAGTGTCTGGTTCTGTGGAATATAGATCCGTGACAGTGGTTCTTTTTATCACCGCTGCATTAGAATGTAGATTGTAAATGTAGATCAGTGCGTCTTATGGCGTTTCCGCCAGCAGAGAAGGCCTAACTGTTTCATGGCGCCTTTCAGCACGTATGTGATGCATATGAATGTGTGTAGCTGTGCAGAACGAAAGAGACCGAATCAGCACCAGAAGATCCAGCTACGAAGACAGCAGTTTACCCTCCATCAATGCACTCATCCAAGCAGACGTGCTGTCAAGACAGGTAAAGGCCTTCTTCTACAACGCCCCCCCACCCCCACCATCAATGACCATGAATGTCCTATAACATGCTGGCTTGACCCCGACCCGTTCAGATCAGCTCCCCCGCGCCCATCCTGAACGGCGACATCCGCACCAAAAAGATTGCCACCATCACGGATGTTTGCGAGTCCATGAAACAGCAGCTGCTGGTGCTGGTGGAGTGGGCCAAGTACATCCCGGCCTTCTGTGACCTGCCCCTGGATGACCAGGTAAGACTCAGACACAGTGTACATAGTTGTATAGACACTCTGGTCACTCATCAACCAGCCCTACTGCAGGGACAACATCCATCTACAAGACACACGTCCACCCAAATAAGTTCTCTCCAAACATGCACTGAAAGAAATCAGGCTAAATGATTAAAACCTGCAACGAGGAGGTGGAGGGTTTTCTCATCATCCGGAAGCGCACACGCTCCGTGCAGAGTGGTTAATGTATTTGAATCCTCAGTTACAATATGATGAGCCGGTTTGAAAGTTCTATCCCTCCTTGGGGAAAAAGTTCGGAATCATTAACAGTGTGATCACCAGCTCTTGGTCACTCATTTGCTGATGTTGTATTTGGAAGGGATTTGTTTTCTTCGCAGCCTCCAACGGACAGATCTACAGACCGCCAAAAATGACATGGGAAATTTTGTATTTGATTAATTGTAGCCACAATATATACACGACATGCACACACGATACTAATGTGTGGCCCCAAATTCGGTATAATATGTGCACAAAATATAAATGAATGATATCGTTATTCCAGGGCTGCTGCCTAATGCCTGGATCAGACTAATATACAAATTTGGTCTCTCATGATGGCACTCTCTTGGGCTAGTGTCATCAAATCTCGGTCTGAACATTATCACCGTATGTTCCGATCATTGGGCTAATCTTGTCAAATCAAGGTGCGGGGGAAAAGGAAAAACATGTCAACACTGCTGGATGTCACCGCTACTATAGTGGCAACAACAACCATGTTGACAACGCCGACCTGAACAATCGTTTGCGACAGCAAATTGTGCCAAAAGTGGGGCTACAATGTTGTACCCTGATAACAAATCAAACACACTGTCTCTCGAAACGGTGCTTCCGAAAGGCTAGTCTCCTAACCTTAATGGCACATTTCCTTAACCTATGAGGAAACGGTCAGCAAGTCTTGAAATGGTGTTTCGATTTGAACATGGGAAAAGGCTCACCGTTAAAATAAAAAGGACTTTTCCGAACTGACGTCATTACGAGACGGCCAGTTTTCCTGAAAGAAGTCTCCAGTGTTGAACTGTGGTAAACTTCGGTGTTGGCCTGTTGCTTTTAATATTGCTGCCGTAAAGGATTATGGGTAACATCTTTTCATGAAGGCTGGTTAGGAATAATCTATACCCAAGGTGGTTTAAATGTTGCATCGCGGCACCTTTCTGAAGCATTATTACAATTCAAACCACCTTTCCACCAAGTACTTCCTGTTCATCTTGCGTCTATATTAAATGAACATTCCCACACAAAAACCAGAATCCGAAGACCTGTAGAGGACATTGCATATTGTAGTTTATAGGTATCCGACATTTGCTTACCCTGACATCCAATTTATTAACGGGACTAATACTGAGCCAACAAATTGGTATTTTATGCAACTATCATACTTACCTAATTTCTGTCCACAATTAGCATTTTGTGCACACGTTATCTAGATTTCATCCGCAATTGCATTTCATTCTTTTCCCCTATGTCATGTCTGGGGCTCCATATCAAACAATATATATATTTTTTAAACATTAATTCAAAATAACATCATTATTTCAGGTGGCATTGCTTCGAGCTCATGCCGGAGAACATTTGTTGCTCGGTGCTGCAAAGAGGTCCATGCTCTACAAAGATATCCTCCTATTAGGTAAAACCAGCACCTCAATGACATACATTTTCTCTGTTATGCTTCTTGTTAGAGAGTCCAGTGGTGTGATCAAAATGATCTCACGTGACTCTTGCAGTTGTGGTGGTCATAGTAAGAGTTGAGTGTGTTGCAGGAAATGATCACATCATTCCCAGGAACTGTCCAGAGCTGGAGGTGGGCCGGGTTGCCGTGAGGATCCTGGATGAGCTGGTGCTTCCCTTCCAGGAGCTTCAAATAGATGATAACGAATATGCCTGCTTAAAGGCCATTGTTTTCTTTGATCCAGGTACTATTGAGCTTTGCAGTCATTCATGTTTGCAAACACTCATCGCTACGGTACTTCAAATGTCAGAAAGCGAGAGAAGCATCATGGCAAGTGTGCTTGCATTTAAACGTCCATTTCACTGTCAAAAGAGCATTCGGCAGAGGAACAGAAAAGTCAGTTCATTAACCAATCCTTCAGTGATCATGTTCAGAACTTCAGAGGTGTGTTTATAAATGAATGATACAAGTTTGAAGATAATTGTTGAAAACGTGCCGAGTCAAAGAACTGTGCTGTACACTATTGTGGAGATTTAGCCTTACACCATTTCAGTTTCCTTGATTTTCTTGAGAATGGCAAAAACGGGGCCCAGTGAGGCATTTGGCCCCGCCACGAGAACCAACAGCCCTGCCAGCCTTCCACTCCACAGCTACCTTCCCACACAAGAATTTGAGCCCCTTCCTTCACATCAGCGGGTATCCAGCGCAATTAGGAGCTGCAGTTTGCTAGCCAGTTATGCATACATTCATACACCCTAAAAACGCACCTTCTCTGCAGATAGACCGCTGGCATAGGCGTTTTAGAGTGCCACGTTGTCGGCTGCGAGTGGATGTACGTCACCCATAGAAATGCAGAAGACTTTAAGTCCAATGTTGGTGTTTTTGAGGCGTGTTTTGTTAATATCGGACCAATGAATGCGATGTCATTCTTTTCCAAATGTCAGTGTGATAGTTATCGGTCCGATAGCATGCATCTCTTCATGGAAGGCTTTGTTTACCATAAGAATGCTTGAATTTTTGCCATGTGACAGAAATATGTGATCACATTTTGAAAAAGTATACAGCTGTGCCAATAAGAAGACTGTTTAGTTGTGACAAATTCCCTGGTAAATACATGGCTTGTGTTTGCCCACAGATGCAAAAGGTCTGAGTGACCCTGGAAAGATCAAACGGATGCGATACCAAGTCCAGGTCAGCTTGGAGGACTACATCAACGACCGGCAATATGACTCCCGCGGACGTTTCGGGGAGCTGCTACTCTTGCTGCCGACCCTGCAGAGCATCACCTGGCAGATGATTGAACAAATCCAGTTCGTCAAACTGTTTGGCATGGCCAAGATTGACAATCTTCTCCAGGAAATGCTTCTCGGAGGTGAGTTAATAGTGGTTGAAGTGTACTTTACTCTGATCTGGTCGAATGGATCGAAATGAGTCAATATTTTGCATTTCATACAAAATCGGTGATCGACTCTAATGCCATAATTCATGCTATCTTTGACGTCAATGATCGCATCAGCGAAATAAGACATTTTCGCAGACAAACTCATTCATGCGGGGGGTTTTTTTGTGGTGCATGTGAACTTGAAAGCTAATCTATTTTTAGCCTTGTCTCGTATCACCAGAGCGGAATAGCATTCATGTAGATTTTCTTTTTGACAGGTTAAAAGTCTGAAAACCATTTTATTTACATAAAAAGAACTAGCTACAATCTGTGTGTTAATGATATAAATTTAACATCTCTTTAATTAAAATAGCTTTCTTCACTCAGCGTAAGTTACATGAACCTCTAGTCAGACACATTCAGGCAATCACAGATGCAAACAGCAGGCAGACGTGTTTGAACAAACACGGAAATAGCTGCATTGTTGACAGATGCACAAAACCTTTACTTAGCCAGAATACGAGATACATGGGGCTCCTCTTTCGTGAGTCAGATGTTTGGTCTCGTCTGACCAGAAAATGGCCTCTTGGTGCAACGGCCACGTAAAATACACTTCACTGTGGACATTAACACTTGTTGGTAAAACTTGGTACTGTACTTCCTAGTTTGCTCCAGAACATCCAAACCAATTGGTTTTCATTTCACAGTTTGGGTTTCCTCGAGTTGTGTAAATCTACAATTCTCCTTATTAGATCTTCACTGAGTTGCTTGGACACATTTAAATTACGTTCCTGGCAGTCATGGCAGCCTTTTTTCAAGCCACCGTGGACAGAACAGGCCTGGCGTAATACTGAAAGTTGTGTTCTACTATTCATTGAGTTGACATGTTTAGGAGCATTCTATCGCAAATGGTGCCATTTACGATGTGTGCGCTTTTGTCTTGCAGGCTCTGCCAATGAAGCGCCTCATGCACCTCATTCTCTTCATCCACACTTGGTTCAAGAGCACCTCAGCAGCAACGTCATCGTGGCCAGCAACATGCCAACGCCCATCCATAATGGACAAATTTGTATGTACCCCAAAAACTAACTCACTAAATAAATAAATAACAGTGGCAACAAGATTTCCTCAAAATTACAGTGTTTCAAAATGGCAAATTTGGTTGGATGGACCCCTTCTGCCTGAGTACAATGCAGCAAGAATTTAAAAAAATCAGATGATGGGTTCTGGAGAAATTGAGTTTTATTTAAATTTTTTTTTTTTTTTTTTTAAGTTGCCGTTTTGGAGAATGTTTTTGTGTGATATCGGCAATACAAAATTGATCAAAAAAAGGCCTTTGATTGAAACAATCTACAACTTGATTGTTCCTCAACATATCTTTTTGAACATTTTATGTCCATTGCTACTAAGGGAAGCCCTTCTCCATAGCTTCTGTGAAAAATATCTCCCATTAAGCCCGTGCAGGCAGTTAAAAAAAATCAGATGATGGGTTTTGGAGAAATTGAGTTTTATTTAAATTTTTTTTTTTTTTTTTTTTAAGTTGCCGTTTTGGAGAATGTTTTTGTGTGATATCGGCAATACAAAATTGATCAAAAAAAGGCCTTTGATTGAAACAATCTACAACTTGATTGTTCCTCAACATATCTTTTTGAACATTTTATGTCCATTGCTACTAAGGGAAGCCCTTCTCCATAGCTTCTGTGAAAAATATCTCCCATTAAGCCCGTGCAGGCAGAAATTTCTGAGGGGTCTCCAAGCTGATGGGTCAAAATTACGATGATGTTTCAAACGGTGCCACTCACATAACTTGACACAAACAGCACAAATGGAATAATTATTTGAGAGGAGACTAGTGTGGACAGTGGAAGATGTGTACATTGGTCATCAATTGTGGGGTTTTTTTCTGTTCCATGACAAATCACGGAACAAAAGACAATTTTAACCAAGCAGATTTTGATTTTAATGAAACTTGGTGTATTCTTGATAGTGATTAGACAACACGAAATCCGCCCCGCCGAATTTGGAAATTTTCTGCAAAAAAGGACGTGGCTGCCTTTCTTAGAACCCTGATATCTCAAGAACTTGTGGCCCAATCGTCACAAAACAGATATTTGTGCAAAGGGAGTTCAACAAGTATTCCAAATATGCATTTAGAAGATTGGTACATATTTAACAACTTGACCTTTTGACCTATAATCTGACCCTGAAATTGACCTTGTGGATCATGTGACCTAAACAACATTTTCATCTCACGTGTTCTCTAAATCATATACAAGTTTCAGAAATTGATTTTGTTTTGTTTATTAACAATAAGGAGTTAAATTATCCATATCCTCAGACTTTAAATGAATATTCAACTTTCAATGAATATTCAATAAATATCTTGTCACATGAGGAGCAGAATTTAGACCCAGAAGAAGATAGGACACGGAAGTAGAAAAGTAAAAGTCTTTATATACAAAAATACAAAGTAACAACAGAAAGCCGGGCTGGATGCAGAACACAAAAATACTCAGTAACGGAGCAGCATTGGATGCAGAGGTATGGAAGAAAGCTTGCCGGGTCCATAGGCGGAGTTGCTCCTGGCTAGCTTGCACCCTGCCCAGTAGCTTGCACGCTTCCTTTCCGCTGTCTGTCTCTCGCAGGGTATTTTGATGAGAAAGTAGCATGGCGTGTGTCAAAGTGCCGCTTTACATTCGACCGTTTCATCGATGGTATTTTGTCATTGCAAATCAGGCACACCGCAGAACCTGTTCTCTCCACAAAGGCGAATCCGTCGGTCCATTCGTCTTGAGGTCTACCATAGTCCTAATCTTTTTTTCTTTTCGCCACCTTATTCGTTTAGGATTAGCTTTGAGCAAATGACCGAGCGGGCTGATTCAAAAGGGGGCGTTTACCTGTTTCCGCAGCAACGGCCAACGTAGGCCAGTATTATCCAATCAAAATTGTTCCTGGACCCAACTGCAGCCCTTAACAGGAAATGGGTAGTAAAAAAAGCAGTGGATGGATTAAACAAGCGAGAATATTTTGTTTTATCTGCGAGCCAGATGCAATCATCAAAGAGCCACATATGGCTTGCGAGCCATAGGTTCCTGACCCCTGCTGTAGAGGCATTTGAAGTGTTCATTCTGGGTTTTTTTTTTTTTGTTTTTTGAAAATTCCACAAGGATGGCAGTCAGTTGTTACGTTGTGAATTTGAGCTAATAAGATAGTTTGACAGTTCTCTGACAGCTGGATTTCGATTGACCTAAATGTGCTGCAGTTGAATGCATTCCAAGTTTTTCCCTCCCAACTCCCTGTGCAGCCTCGTCATGTTTTTAGCTAAAAGGGCTTGGCAGAATAATCCTTTAAATTCTTCATGCAAACTAATCTGGCTTACTTTGTCAAAGAAAACTTCTGTTATTCTTTCTTAACATGTTTAATGCGCTGAGAAATTTCACAAAAGTGCTTGTTCTTGATCTGAAAATAGCATTGTCTTGAGACATGTTCTACCGTGTAGGGAGTAATTATATAAAATAATACATTCGAAATAAATTTTATAAATTGTATAATACTGTTTATAATTTTATGCTGTGAGTCCTCTCTTCTTCGTTCTCTTTCTAACTGGCTCCTGTTGCTTTGTGTTCTGCTCTGCAGCCACTCCGGACACCCCGATACCGTCTCCGCCGACAGCGTCCAGCTCAGAACATTACAAAATAGCTCAAGGAGTCATAGCCACTGTCCCCAAGCAGCCAACCTCCATCCCTCAGCCGACCATTACCAAGCAAGAGGCCATCTAATGACCCTTATTTGAATGGTTGGGTCTTTTTTTTCTTCTACTTTTCCAAATAAACAGCTTTGAAGCTGTCCAGTTAACAGAAACATAAAGTAGCGAAATGCCTTGAAAATAATGATTCTATTTTGAGTCTACAACTTAAACGACGGTTTAATACCAGAAAAAAAAGAATACAGTTGTTGGGTATGGTTGGCATTTCAAACTTTGTTTAGTTGTGTAAATACTTTCTCAATGACCAATGTGGCTTTCTTTTTGCATGTCCTCAGTGTGTGGCGGAAAAGCTCATGGTCGACATGGCAATGGGACCATGTCAGTATTTTATGAATGTTACAGGGCTTTGCATTCTGTTTTGTGTTTTTATATTTCAAGTTCTCCTGTGATTTAAAAAACATCTATGTCACAAAGGCATTTCATCCAACCTCAAGAAAAAAATTACGAGATTGCTTATCCCACTGGCCAGACTAAAACATGTGTTTGATTTACTGCAATGAAATGGTGTGTTCAAAACTACTTATTGATAAGTAGCCACACTGATTAGGTTTTCCGGTTTTATTATAAATGTGTATATTTTGTGTCAAACCCGACCCGCTCATGTAATGTTTGAAACGATAATAAAGCCAAGTGTGCATTGTAACCTGTACTGCCTTAAAAGCAAGCAAATGTTTGCCATACAATGTGAAGATGAACGAATAAATCAAGGTCTATTTTTACATTGCACAAGTTTGCAGTTGTATATACTTAAAACACAAGTGTTTACTATACAAACTGAATGAAGACATTAAGGACAGACTTTGAATAAGATTTATTTAAGCATGGTGCAATGTGGCAGGGCTGTGGGGTCACTGATAACATATTGCTTTGGACTGACAAACAGCCATAAAATTCATTGGACAAATGTAAAAATGAAGAGACGGAGGAGCGAGGTATCTACCACACACATTTTAGTGATTTAGTTGGCAACTCGGCATGTTCACTCTGGTCCAATATTACTACCACCCCAATAAGGAATATTGAAAATGCAAATAAATTGCCCATCCATAAATCTTTTATCCTTAATAAAGATAATTTCATTTATTGGTATGCATCCAGTGCAGTTGGCTGGCAACCAGTCAAGTGTGGACCCCACCTCTCGCCCATGGCGGCTGGAATAGGCTCCAGCTCACCCATGACTCTAATGAGAATGAGCACTTGAAAATGAATGAAGTGAAGAATAATACACAATAATTTATACACCATTCAGGTTGCAATTAGTCCAAAGTCCAAATCATATAGCGCAGGCGTCAGCAACCTTTTTTGAAAGTGAATGCGACTTCTTGCCTAGTGAGTGATACAAAGGGCGACCAGGTTAATTTACACTTGTGAAAAAACAAATTCTCTCAATAACATTTTTTCCCTCAGCCTTGGATAAAGGACAAGGGTTTGCTTACTAGTGAAATTTTGCCACCCTGAAGAACAGGCGAATCATCATGGTGAAAGGTCTACTCTTTAGTGAAAGTGCGGGTTTATTTATTTATTTTTTTTGCTCTTGTAAATGTAAACACGACTGCATTGTACCTGAACTCATCATCAACTGCTGTCTGTGATGACTGTCTTGTAAGATTGTCCGCCGTCCATTTTCTGTGCCACTTTTCCTCATTAAGATGGTAGTTGTGCTGGAGCCTGTCCCGGATGATTCTTGGTGACAAAGGCAGTACAGTATACAGTACAACCTGGACTGGTCACGAGACAATCACAGGGCACATACAAAAACAAAAAAACATTGACTTCGGGACTGTCGTTTCCACAAAGCAACTATGCTGACAGTTACTTCTCAAGCTTGAAAATGCCTTTCAAAATGGTGGTATAAGTTCGTGGCTGCCACTTTAACTGTACGTCGCCATGGAAAAAAAAATGTTTATTCGGTTTCATGTTCATTTTAAATGCCAAGCTACGACAGAAGGTATACTTGTATGGACAAATATAATCACAACTTGAAAAGAAACCTTGTTGGTAGATGCGTGTATTTGTAGGGGTCAACACGTCTGCTCCAGAGCAAGGCAAATTCTGCCATCTGCAGTACGAACCTGCGAGCTGAAAAATTACCTCAGCCACACATTGTTTTCAAGAAAAAATATATATAAACGCCACGGTACACACGCATACGAACCGGCACTTAACACGGCAAAAAGACTCGTGCAATATAAGAAAATGCCCTAAAAGGTTTTTAAAAAGCGAAGGAAACATGTTTATATTTTTTCGTAGATCAAAATGTTGATCGTTATTGCAATGGAGAGGGTGTTTTTGTATCACTGGCGCTTAGAAAAAGTCTGCGTCAAATGCAGTAAAAAAAAAAAACATCGCTTCCGTCTCATGTGATGTACATTAGCCAATGTGAGCTCGTTATTTTCTACCCGGAAATGATTAACTGTGTAGCCGACAGCCAGGGTGTAATTACAGAGTCACTTTTGCGATCGTTATAGCGAATAACATTGAAGGTGAGTATTTCGATTCACGGATTACCAAACGAATCGCAATTTAAATCACAAAGTTCATCCGTTTTGTCTGACATGAGCTTTGCTGCATTGTCTTTATTTTCAGGGTCATGTTAAATCAAATTAGCCATGCAGTCGGTGACGAGTGATGCTTTCAACCAGCACCGACCCGTTCGACTTTGAATAAACGTGAGCAAGATCTTACGTGGTCTGTTTTTATTTGTTTATTTTTAAATTTTATGTATTTATTTTTACAAGAAGTGTTTGGAAAATACTGTGTGACCGTGTGGTGCTTCCCAATTTAACAGCTTCATCCAGTCAGTCCATGGCTGAGTCTGCCGCTCCACGGTCCAGTCCAGTCAGCCCGTTAGAACACAGCTGGTTTCCGAGCCCCCCACCACCAATTTACACCTGCACCCTGAGCCCCGAGCTGGTGGCCAAGGCACGGGAAGAGCTTCAAGAAAAACCAGAATGGCGTCTACGGGATGTTCAAGCCCTTCGAGATATGATACTAAAGGTCTTTTCTGCCTGTATTCAGTTCAGTTTTCAGTTTTTAAAAATGTATCCGGCACTGCTGTATTGAATTTGCCTGTTTGCCGGTGTACGCGGAGAAGACCGTACTTTTTGGGGTTTTCTGTGGTTCTCCATCTTCATCATGTGTCTAACAAACATGCATTCTAGCTTTATTGAAGATTCGAAATTGTCCTTAGGTATGTGTGGCGACAACTACTGGTGTATTTTCACAATTTGCTGCATGTCAAACGAATCGTGGTATATGGTGTATAGTGTTTACAAGCACACCCAGTTTTTTAGTGATTGCATTTGTTGTTTTTTTTTTCTGTATGGAATGTGCAGGAGCAGCCCAATCTCAGGACACGGCTGGACGACTCATTCCTCTTGCGCTTCCTGCGGGCCAGGAAGTTTGACTATGACCGAGCCTTACAGCTCTTGCTCAATTACCATGCTGGACGGAAGGCTTGGCCCGAGGTCTTCCTTGACTTGAAGCCGTCTACGGTGAAGCATGTGCTGGACTTGGGCTTTCTCACAGTCCTGCCTCGACCGGACCCAAACGGAAGGTACATCCTCTGTCTTCGGCCAGGTTGGTATCTGCCCTAAAGCGGCCCGCTTTAACTGCTTTGAAAACTTAAACAGGATCAATTAGCACAAATGTATTCATTTATCTTTGTCAACCACCATTGAGGAGGTCATGGGGATTTAAACATCCTGTACTTTCACTGGCCACACAACATGAGGGTATGTTTGGCCTTTGCAAAGATAATGATCGTCACGATACTATTTCATGATTAGAAACCCTTCTGTGCAGTGTCCACACCCTGCATATTGTAAATACAATAATAAGCACAATTTATCTTCTCTGCCTCCAGTCAAACTAACACAATGACATTTTAAGTGTATGTGAAATATGTACAATTGACCTATAATATTTCAAGAATCGATAGATTTGTTGTGACTGGAGTGGAACCTCGGTTTTCCTGATTAACCTGTTCCAAAAAGTCTGACCACCAAAATGGATGAAAACTGTTATAATATTTCCCATTAAAAAATCATGTAACTTCATATACTCACATGTTCTTCAGATATTAACAAATATTAACAAATAAAATACATTTGATAGAGAGTTTATACTATTTGTGTTGCGTCTCGTCGTATAGGAAAATGGAAAGCAAACGATTATCCGTTTGTTGACAATGTGAGGGCCATGTATTTGACGCTGGAGAAGCTGATCCAGCCAGAGGAGACGCAAGTCAATGGTATCGTTATCTTGGCCGATTATACCGGCGTTGGTATGTCTCAGGCTTCCAATCCGGGTCCTTTTCTTGCCAAAAAGGTCGTGAGCATTCTTCAGGTAAAAAAATGTTTTTTTTTAATACATACATCATGGTTGAAAATGTTAACATAAGACTTTTGTTTTTCATGAGCTTGATCTCAAAAATGACAACCTGTGCAATAATCATACTGTCAAGTCAGAATCACCAATATGCCCCACATGTGAGGTAAATGGATTATCTCGGCAAAGAAGAAGTGCTCACTAACATAGATTTGGACAGATTTGTGAACAATGTCTGAGTGAAATTTTGAGATTTTGTGAACATGGGGTAACGTCTTTGGTTTTTGAGGTCAGCTCATGGAAAATGGGAGTAGAAAAACGAAAGCGCTGCGTTTTCCTTTTTGTTGAGTGTTCATCAAGTCATTATTCACCTTTTTGTTCTAACATCAGTTGGCTACTTATATTTGCACACAAATCTGGATCGGCTGTGTTTGCTCTTAAAAGTGTTTCTTTTGTCATTTACAGGACGGCTTCCCAATCCGAATCAAGGCTGTCAACATTATTAACGAGCCTCGGATTTTCAAAGGCATCTTTGCTGTTATCAAGCCATTCCTGAAGGAGAAGATGGCAGAGAGGGTAGCTAGTCTCTTTCAAACCTCTCACTCCTACCAGACATTATAGGTTGGAACAAAGGACTATTTGGAGAAAGTACAAGCTGTAGTTTCTTAAAAAACAAAAACAACAACAACAAAAAACAAATCACATTCATTACCACTGTGCTTTGTGAACTCATCAGGTGTGCCACAGCAAATTATTAAAGGTTACCTAATTGGTCCAAAAATCATTTGCTTACAACAGGGGTGCCCATTACGTCGATCCTGATCGACCGGTAGATCTAGGACTGTCCCAATTAGGCCAAACAAAAAAGATAGTGTGTTTCCGGTAACATGAAATTTCAGCATAGGGTCGGTAGGTCGGACAAAGTTGTTTTGTGTTTTTTTTTTTAAATCTTTTTTTTTTTTCCCCTTAAAAAATTTAAACAAAATAACCGTAAAACATAAAACAAGCTGACTGTTTCAGAACTCAAAACCTGTTAGTATCGCTTTGGCACACGAGACACAACTTGCTGGTAACAAGTAGAATTATTTCAACAAACAGGCACAATTCTCATTTTAACACAGTCGCTACATAATGGTAACACAGTTTTGTAACGTTTGGTTGGGTCAGGATCAGTTTCTGCATCTCCATTTCCACAATTGCTGCAGATATCCATCCTCCACAATTTGGAACTGTAATATGGTATCTCAATTGGCACTGAACAGTTGATGGCAGTTGGCCGCCGCCATGTTTCAATGTTGTTGACAGACGACAGGGCAAACGACGCACGCGCTCAACGTGAATATCGTGAGAGTTTGCACCGATGTAAACAAACAACCCTCTACATTTTTGTGTAGGGTTGCAGGTAAATCTTTAACCTACGGTGGTGCGTGACTACGTCAGAGGAAGTTGTTCGCGCTCAGCAGTCTGCAATTGCAGCTTGTGATCAGAGCTGTTGCGCTATATCTTTGATCGTCATTATTCTCATTCAGAGTTTGCTTCGTGTACAATTCACCAAGGGTACGGGCAAAGAATAGGAATCTAGAGGGCTGAGGAAAGCTACGATAGCCAACAGGCTGCAAAAGTGCATCGCTTGCTTCCGTGTTTGGCTTCTCATCATGGCGCGCGTGTGCGTGTGTGTGTGTGTGTGTGTGTGTGTGTGTGTGTGTGTGTGTGTGTGTGTGTGTGTGTGTGTGTGTACGCGCGTGTGTGTGCGCGCGTGTGCGTGCGCGGTAAGGGGCGATCCCGGGAGGTTGGTTGAACGAAAAGTCGATCTTCGGTCCAAAAAGTTTGGGCACCCCTGGTTGACAACAAATAGTGTATTTTTGTTGGTCTCGCTGTCTCTGTGATATGACAGCCAAAGCAATGAAATGTTCTTCCACGAGATGGTAAAAGTCACAATGAACTTCTATGTTATTTCAATACACTGTACATCCATCCTGTTCTTCACTGACCCATATTGAGAGGTGATTACTTAATCCTTGAAATACTTCAACACATTGAAGCATCTAAAGACACAAGGTAGATGTAATTGAACACATATTTTTAGCAAAAAAAGAGCATATAACATGTATACCAGGGGTGCCCAATATGTCAATGTCGATTGAACAAAGGTAGCCTGGGTAGATAGCATGACACAAATGTACACAGACAGTCATGCGCACACGCACTTAAGGGCGCCTTCCTTGCAAGCTATGGAGATATCATTTGACTTAGAAACTAAACTTTAGGTATAAAAATGTGTGAAGGGTGCTGGACCAAGTAAAAAGAGAAAAATGTGCCATTTCCATACGGAATGGGAGGAGGAGTATTTTTCTACGATGTAATTTTCAAAGTGCGTTTGCGCCGCTCCAATTGTTTGTGATGACGAAATGGTGTTCTCTGTTTATTTGTACAGTACTTGCTCCACAGCTCAGACCTGCGCTCCCTCCACCGGAACATTCCGTGCTCGGTCCTGCCCGAGGAATACGGCGGCACGGCCGAACATCTGGACATGCGTGCGTGGTCGAGACTGCTGCTGGACTGTGAGGAGGACTTCATAGTGGAGTTTTGCCAGCCCGATCCACTGGAGGGCGCTGTGCCGCCTGAGTCAGCGCCGTTCCAAGGTGGCGATGATGGCTGCGAGCACGAAGATGTCTTTAGGGGTCTGCGCTCGCAACTTTATTCGTGTTACTGATGAACACCGGACATTCTCCCTTGCGGCGAGACGCCGATTAGTCGGGCAAGTTGCTAATATGACAGATTGTTTTTCTACTAACCATCCAGTTTGTGTATCTTCGCTAGGGTTACAGGTGAGCTGGACTCTATCCCAGCTGATTTGGGCATCACGAGCACTATTTGGAGTCAGATGGTCTGTGTTGTGTAGTTGGCACTCAGCGTATTTGGTCCATCACCAGCTGCAGGCGGCGTGTGGACGTGAGTGTGGCAAAAAATGCTTTCAGGATTTGTCTTATCTAATAGCAGGTTTTTTTTTTTTTCCTGGATGTTTTTCCAAGTCATAGCATGAACAGTTCTCAGTCTGTCTCAAGTCTCATACCCCCACAATGTAGCTTTAAAAAAAAAAAAAAAGTAGTGTAACGGATTTATTCAAGCGTCCCATCAGCTCCCCTAGAATATTGTTTCATCATAAAATACGAAAAGAACAGTTTAATTTAAAAATGAGCAAAGTATTTCCAAGCAATGAATGAAGTTGTTGGAATCACGTTGGTGTCAAATATAAACTGCTCTTATATTGCCTTAAAGCAATCGCAGCATACAGTTCTACAAACCAAAGCTATATTCATGTGGACTGTCTTTAAAAGGATTTTGTGTAGTGCAAGGCTCCCCAACCACCGGCCTGTGGGCCATTTGGTACCGGGAAATACATAGAGTGAGAGCAAAAGAGTGAGTGCGAGCATATATGTTACGTTGACCAGTATGCCTTTTTAATTTTTTTCCGCCCAAGGCCCTTGGTGATCAAATGGGCATATGCGGCGATTGAACGTTCAGTTGCGACTTGCCAAATGTTGTGAAGGAACAGTGCCATAATGCTGCATCTGCTTTTCCCAATGCTTTCTTATTGTTTACAGTGCAATTGCGTGGCTTTTATATTTTATGCATGTCTGATGCCGTCAATGATTGCATAGCAGAAAATAGCAGTAAAGTCAAATTTGAATGAGGCCTTCTTGTGTTTTTTTTTTTCTTAGTACAAATGTGTGAACAGGATATGAGTTGCCCACACTGGTCTCATTATTCACAATTCCAAGACAGTCGAACACATATTGTAACGGCAGATGTCGGTGTAAAGTCGAGGAAAGCTGACACTACAGTATAGAATGGCACCTTGAGATACAACTTGAATTTGTTCTGTGACCACACCCAAATTATAATCATCTTTGCCCAGTGTTATTTATGAATAGAGATGCCAATAATCTCTTCCTCCCTTGCCAGAAAAACATATTTGTAATATGTATTTTAATGAGGAAAAACTCTATCATGTAATTTATAAAAACATACAATCAATTCGTCAGCCATTATGCTGCACCGCTTGCTGTGTGTATGCCTTGGCTACATGCGGCCAGTATATTATTGACATACCAATGCAAGGTTAACCTTTATTTATTCCACATTTGCTAAACACTGTCACTCCTCACCAATGAAATAGTTCTTCACAAGTGATAACGAATGTGTGCCTGTGAATCTTGTTATATTGTTGCTGGATTGTTATGTTTAAATATCCATTGTTGGGTGAAAGTGTTGTTGTCCACCTCCACAAAGATGCTATTTGTTGACCCACTCGTGAGTTTCATTTCCCAATTATGTGTTAGCATTGAGCTTAATCTCTAAGCAATGTGGTTGTTTAAAACACACAAAGCCTAAATATCTTTGTTTTACATTTGTTTTAAGAGTAAACTTCAACTTGGTGTTGCAGTAAATGCCTTGAAGCTTCATTTTTCGAAGAATTGCTCACAAGCTACCCAACTGAGTTCCCTTTTACCAAGCAGCGCTTGCATCTCAAATTTGGGAAAGAAGTAAAAAATGAATATATGCTGTCTCCCAGCAGTTAATTTCATGTGGTTCTCAAGCTATCAAAGGAAGAACATTATGTGTAACCCCCCCAAAAAAAAAAAAATCCATGAGCAAACGTGTATTATTTCCACACGTGTATGTCCTTGGGTCGAATTTAAGGCAAACACCTTAATTGCACTCATATTCCATGTGCCCCCACTAGTATGAAAAATATATTCTTATTTATATTGTATTTGTGTATTACGAATTAAGCCGACACCAGAGTGCCCTTGGTCTTGCATTGTAAGCGTCATGGCTCAGCTGTTTTCTGAGTTTGGTAAGATGTTCGCGGACACTTATTTTATGTTAGTTGTTCTGTAAAGCGCTTTGTTTCAGCTGCAGCTGTTGTGAAAACGCTACATAAATAACGATCTATAGTGTTCTATTGCACGTACTGTATTGTACTGTACTTCAATTTCAGTCGACAGCAGGGGGCGTTATTGGACAAAATGGCAGCTCCCTAAAATGAAAACAACATGGGTGGATTCATCTTCTTAAATGTTATTCCACAAACGCGATATCAATTTGAATAACGTGTTTAGACCAATGTGGGCTCATAGTTGATATTCTTGCAAAGACATATTTGCCTTGAGCTCCAATTTAACATCAGCTGCTGTCCATCCTTCAACTAAACTCTTCTGATTGCGAATGTAACAAGCATACATGGCAATGGCGAGTGATGAAAAACTGATTGCTAATGTAACAAGTGCGTCATGAATGGATGAAGCGTGCTCGTGAGTACAGGCAGCGTAAATGTGCGGGTGAAAATAGAGCGGGCATGTGAGCCTGCGCGTTTCTTTTGGTCGGTTGCCACAGAAACATTAACACTGGTCTCGGTTCTTCTTGCGCCTTCTTTGTGACCTCGGCAGTACTGCATAGATTTGATTGCATTTTATCTCCGCACGTTCCACTCTTTGATGGTCCCGCGATGTTTTTTTCCGGTGGCCAGTTGTCTCGACTCTGTTTAAAATGTCGCCAAAAAAGATCAGGTTGATTTCCTCTGGAAGACGGTTTTCATTTGGAACGAATGAATGAGTGAATAATGAAGAGTGATGTAATTTCACAGCGTTAGCTTTACTTGACATGAAACAAAAAGCCTCATGTTTTGGTGTTGGGAGAAATGAAGGCGTTTAGAACGAGTTTTCTGGAAGCGACAGAAATGCAATCTTTGCTGTACTTTGCTTCGTGATGATACTACAAGGTGAACGCAACATATTAAATTTACTTTTCAGTATTTGTCTGCAATAAGTTCCTCGTTTATCATGAGGGTTACCATCCACAACTTCCTTTGACAGACGAAAATTAGCAGATAGTGACCATATATTTATTTGAATTTCATTAGATATTTATATTTCAATGCTTTATGCAAAATACTAATACAAAATATGCATGTGAGGAGCAGGTATTAGTTTTGTCTGCTTGGGGTCACCCCCCTCACGTTTCACACCGTAGTATCTGGGACTTGGAATGTGTTTGGCATTAAAAAGCAGTGCCTGGCCTGGTGAGTAACTTGGGGGTCAATGAACAAGAGCGTAGGGTTGGCTGGCAGCTCACTGGCTAACATTTAGCCCGTCTGCATTTTGAATATCTCTGGTTGTCAGTTGTGGCATATGAATGTAATTGCTGTCTGTTTATTTTGTTAGCATTTTTTCCTTCAATGAAGCATACCGCTTGTGAGCTATACAGTCCAATAAGATTCGCATTTGATCTGACAAAATCAAAGAACAGGCCCACTAGCTAGATGGTAGTGTTGAAGAATGGCACCAATGTGAAGCTGTTTGCTCTCAAACGCCCCTAAAGGAGGAGGCAGGATCCTGTCTGCCTCACCTTGCACTTTATCTTTGATTTTATGTGACTCAGCCTCCCCTGAGTGCACTTCCCCGAAGCTGACCAAACATGAGCTGATGAAGCTTACTCAGATGAGAGGCCAAATGATTTCAAAGACAACCACAACATTCCAGTTGCGAGAAGTCACTCAAAAGACCTTTGAATGGTATAAGCGGTTTCGACAATGGATTAATTATTTTGCAGACCCCCAATGGCTCAATGAGCCCAATTCCTTTTGGCTGGAATGCAATGTTTTTCTGGTCAGTGTCCTTGGGTATCTAGACAGGCTCTATATAAATGGTATTTATTATTATTCCAAAAGAAAAACATATCTGCTGTGAGAGAAACTCAAGGTAAGCCGCTAAATTGTTCATTTCTTTATAAGTGCGTGTATTGAGAGGTTTATTGCTGTGATTATTTCAGAAGTTGAAGTGGACATAGAGATGTCCACATAAATTTTGGTGCAGATTGATTGCAGTTTTTAGACGTGATAAACAATGTAAGTTAAGCATTGAGAATGTACTAATTATCTCCAGTTCCTTTGCTAATGTCACACCGGAGCATGGGAATATGAATCGATTTTGCCGATGAAGAAGGAGAATTCCAGGTGCAATTGATTGTCCACAGATTGCTAGATAATGTATTGATGATATGGAAAATGAATCCCAATGTCATTTTCTTGAGCAAAAATACATAGAGTTTGTGACTGAAAAATGGACCATCTTGACAACAGAGTCCCTTTAAGTTATGTTGTGATCCGAACCAAAATTGCCATTGCATAGTTGTTTGATTTCATGATGCATATGAAATAATTCCACTTGTGGCCCATTTATTGTTTTGTCTAGGTATTGGCAGGCGCATGGGCGCTGACTGTCGCTTTATCTGTCACATTTGGACTGCAAACATCTTTGCCATTGCCTTGTGCTTGCCACGATATATATATATATATATATATATATATATATTCTCATGCATACATGGTGCCAATCGCTTAGTCGGAAGGTTAAGTAACAAATGTATTGTGCCGTTTGGCCATTTGAAAATGGTTTTGTAAACCTGATCTTGTCAGATCGTGTAGATGAAATAAAAATGTATCGCCGCATTTGAAATTCTGGTTACTCCGTGCTACAGTTGCGACCAGCGTGCTTTTTCACTGACCTCCACAGCCCCTGAGCTAATTTACAAATCTTCTTTTCAGGGATTATCTTTCTTCCTGACGTGCAAACCAGAGCATGAACCAGAAAGCAGAGATGCGGGTTTTCCACAGCCATAAATGGCCTGACATTGCAACGGACGGCAGTCTTTATTAGCACGGACAGGCAATATGGCTCGAAAGAAAGTGATTCATGTGGAAACTGGATTATCAATCCTCTTGTGGAGGAGAAAGGAAACATTTAATAATTGCGCAGTCATGACTGATTATTTGAAAGCAAAGATTTGTGCTATAGTTTAATCTTTGTGAAGCTTTTGGAAAAATTGCTTTTGCAGAAAAGCACATTTTCACTGGAGCCGGCGAGGTCGGAGATGCTACTTGGAGACAAGCGTGGCCTTTCAGCCCACATCCAGTAGCACAATATTAAAGAGGATAATGGACGTGTAAACTGTCTTCCACGTATCCGCCTTTTACATATTCATCAGGATACAGAGACACCGCTGTGCTTGGTAGATTTTGGTGCGTATGGAGGAATTACTTACCCTTCCCAAATTTCCAAAATCCAAAAGTGAGGAGAACATATTTTCCACTTTTCCAATGTCAATACTAATGCGTAGATCTCATCAAAAACAGAGGCTGAGTCACAGAACTCCAATACGACCGTCTTCACATCAGCGTGTTATCCAGATTTCCAAAGAAGTAAAGGCGCAAACAGGCCTGTATATCCATGCGTTCCACCAACAGACGGAAGTCACGGCCCAGACTTGTAAATACGCTACTTTGAATTAATCCCAACAAACCACAGCTGCTGAAAGTCATCAAAGCCAACAGGAAAAAAAAAATAAGAAATGTCAGTCCTCAACAAGAATGTGATAGTTCACGCTTGGAGGAACGAAGCCAGCGTAGAATTATGCGCCGCAAAAGTCCATTTTGATAAATGAGGGAATGAGCCCATGAACATCTGAGACGTCCTGCGGAGGCAGATCCCAACCGCGTAAGCCCTACTGGCCGACTCCCTCTTGATGCGCTGATTCGCTGTTTGACACACTTCTGAGCCCTTCTGCTCAGTCAGATGGGAAAGTGGAGCAATCCCCATCAGCCCGTCCGTCCCTCCCCGCTGGCTGCTACAC